TTAAGAGAAAGTAGATTAGTGGTTGCCAGGGACTGAAGGGAGGGGAAAATTCAGAGTGAGGGCTAAGGAGGATGGGCATTTTCTGTGCCGCCAAAAATATGTCCTAAAATTAGATAGAGGAGATGGCTGCAAAACTCTGTGCTTATCCTAAGCCCCACTGAATTGTTCTGAAATAACGTAGGGGACCTGGAAAAATAGACTCGGACCCCCACTTAGGTTAATTAATTGGTAATTTATCTTACCTGCCGCAGGGGCTGCTGCTCTGAGAGATAGTCAGCACCCGGTAAGAGTGTGAGTTACCTTTTATAGGCTTTGTGTAAGCATATTACAGAAGTGAAATGTGGCTGGTTAAGGGGGGTTACAACTCAGGTAGTCATAGATACAGCAATGGAACAATAATTGATACAGTTTCAGTTGACAATGGACACATTTCATATCACAATGGTTATGATTATACAACAGTAATTAATCAAGTCTCAGTGAGTTTTCTACCACTGTTCATCTACTGAGAACTTGGGGGTTTTGTGAAACTTGGGACTTTTTTCCCTTGTACCTGAAGCTTGTTCTTGGCAACCCTAGGGGGAAGAAGGGGGCCTGGGAACGTGGCTGGGAAGCACGTTCTTGGCCCACCCTGGGGGGAGGAGGGACTTGCCTTGTTCCTGGAGTCGACTCTGGGGGGAGAAGGGAGGAGGAGGGAAATGGGCTGGAGAGGGCGGGGGGAACAGGTGAGGGCTGGGGAACAGGAGTGGGCAGGGGAAAGAGGGCTGGGTTACAACAGTTCACTTAAAAAGGTGAATTTTATGGCATCGAAGTTATATCAGTATATCTGTTATGAACGTAATTAATAATATGTACTGGAGGTTCTAAAGAGGAATGTGCTGTGGCATTTTTCCAAAGCAGTGCCCATTTCTGTGTACTGTCTACCCCCACTTAATTTGTATATCTTAGTATCTGTGACTGTAGGTGAATGAACTGAACAAGGAATGGCCAGAAAGGAAATCTGTCTAACACCTAGATCAATAAAAACAGACTTTGTAATTAGTCTTCATCTTGGAAAACAAATGCACCGTCTAAAGGGCTCTGAAAAGAAAATCTATGAGACAAGAAATGCGGCCACTTCTTGTTCCCGTCTTCGGATTTCAATGGGAAAGGTAAGACAATTAGAATTATCAGGCCCACAGTTCCTAGAAACCACATACTTAAGTTTAACCAAGTATCTATTCTCCCTGGGAAACTTAGAAACAATGTGTATGTGTGTCAAATTAAGATTCACATTTAACTCTGCTAAGTTATGAATTGTCTAAAATCTAATTTGGGGAATGGTTATTCTTTAAATGTTCTTTTTGTGTGTACTCGCTTTAGTCTCAGGATTGTCAGCTTATAAAAACATGCCATTTTAAGCTGATTACAATAAATATATTGAATCTAAATAAATTGGTCTTGCCATTTGTTTGGCATATATTACTGAGAAAACTAGACATTCTAGAACTTTCTTTTACTATCACTGGTAATAAAACTGATCCAACATTTATTGCTGAGTGAGGTGCTGGGAATACCAGTGATGAAGAGAATATAGTATTAATATATGATCTTCAGAATCTAATAAAATAGCAGGATAAAAGATTATAAACAAATATTTATAAGAATGTGATAAATGTTATAATAAAGGTGAGTTCAAGGAGCTCTTTTTGAGTTTATGCCAATTCCAGGAGCGGGGTTTGCTTACTTTTTTATATTTATCGGCTTTTATGCTTCTTCAAAAATGGTGTTCAATCAATACCTGCTGGATTGAAATTCAAAGGTAGGCTCGATATCATTAATAGGAAATAAAACAGTGAATAGAATATATGAATAAATGAATAGAAAACAGCGCTATGTAGTTTAAGAAGAAGTGTTTCACAGCTCATTTTATGGTGAACTCTTTAGCACAACTCCTGAATTTGCCCTGGAATACAAATAGATTTTATTAAAGGCCTGAGCCCGCTCAGGAACTCCTTCCCTTTTTGTCCAAGGGGTCCCCGGAAACACCCTAAGGCTGAGTTGCTGGCCATGAGAAGCGGGGTCAGACAGGCCTTGGCAGGTCCTGCTCCTTGGACTTGTTCACAGGCTTACAGCTAAATAAGACAAAGCTTAAATTACACTCGCAAGCCATGAATTTACTCAGCAGATCACTTATCAGGGGGCTCATCTTTGATTAACGACATGTGAAGTTGAAACATTCCAAGCCTTTAGACAAAGCTCCATTTCTTTAACAAATTACAAATCAAAGAATCTTTGAACACAGTATCTAGAACCTGCAATGTTTCACTTCCAGATGTGTTGCCTTTGCAGACCCAGCCAGTGTATGATCTGTGCCCTCCCTGTATTGGCTTAGGGTCTCAGCGATTCCTGTCTCCACGAATGTATGAAACCAAAGTAACCCAGCTAATGCTCATCTTCTCAGGACCACTTGGAGCCGTGTGCTCCGGGATGGTCATACACACTCAGCTCTTTAAATTACTTTCAGAGCTCGGGCTTTTCCCCATCAACATCCTTCTATTTCCTGCCTCCTCCAACTAGACCTAGACCTTCCTACTAGACCTGTCTAAGCAAGTGTCTCTTGCTTGGAGTGTCGGGTCGCCCTGTTACCATCTGGATTAAGGGCTATTAGGCAAATTTTCTATGGCTGCTCATGTACGAACTGCAAATAACATACGATCTTCTGATTTTACAGGGTCATTTTGAGATGTAATGAAAATATATATTTTGAAACAATGTTGTTAGTAAAAAGCAGTTTGCTATGCAGTTTGCTATTGCTGCTTCATTCTACAGTACAAATACAAAAAGCGAA